AAGGAGTAAAGAATATCTCTATATCCTTCCATGTATTGATCTCCAACCTATAATGTTAAGTGAAAAAAAAAAAAAACAGGCAGAAAAAAAGGGGAAACATCTGTAATACTTTCAACAATAAAAAAAAATGTATGAGTATGCTACCACTTATCAAGGAAGGGGAGGTAGACATGCAGGTTTACTTATATTTTAAAAATGGAAAGATAACCTCCCAAAATAATAATTAATGGCTGCCATAAGGAAAGGAAGGGAATAGGCTGAAGGAGAGAGAAATATAAGTGGATTTCTCTAAATCAGTGGTTCTCAATGGGGGCTATTCTGCCTGTGCTCCCAGGGGATGTTTGGAGTCACAGTTTTTTTTAGTGTCACAATTGGGGATTGGGAGATTTGTACTATTAACGTTTAGTAGATAGAAGCCAGGAGGCTCCCGAATATCCTACAGTGCACAGGACAGTCCCCACCACAAAGAATTACCCAGTCCAAATGTCAATAGTGCAAATTATATATCTAATAAGAAACTTGTATCTAGAACACCTAAAGAACACCTACAATTTAATAATAAAAAGAAAAAATAACCCGATTTTAAAATGAGCAAGGTGTCTGAATAGACATTTCTCCAAAGATGATATACAAGTAGTCAGTAAACACATGAAAATATGCTCAATATCCTAAGACATCAAGGAAAAGCAAATCAAATCCACATGAGATATAACTTTATGTCCACTGGGATGGCTATAATCAGAAAGACAGACAATAACTAACAAGTGTTAAGGATGTGGAGAAATCGATGCCCTCATATACTGCAGATGGGAATGTAAAATATTGCAGCCACTTTTGAAAACAGTCTGGCAATTCCTCAAAAGGTTAAACATACAGTCACCATATGATCCACAATTCCACTCTTAGGTGTATATATCCACGTGAAATGAAAACATATGTTCACATAAGAACGTACACACAATGTTCATAGCAGCATTATTCATAATAGTAAAAAAGTGGAAATAATTCGAATTGTCCATCAATGGGTGAATTTATTAATAAAATGTGTTATATCTATATAATGGAAAATTATTCAGCAATAAAAAGAAATAAAGTACTGGTAGATGTTATAGACAGATGTAGACATCATTATGCTAGGGGAAAAAAGCCAGTCACAAAAGGCCATATATTCTATGATTCTATTTATATGAAATGTCCAGAATGGGAAAACCCATAGAGACAGAAAACAGATTATTGGCTGTCTAGGGCTGGAGTGGGAGTATGAAGAAGGAGGTTTGGGGGTGTCAGCTAAGGGGTGTGGAGTTTCTTTCAGGGTAATGAAAATAATCCAAATTCAAAGGGCTTCCGGTCAAGATGGCAGCATAGGTAAACACGGTATCGCGTCCTCCCACAACCACGTCAAAGTTACAACTAAACTATAGAACAACCACCATTCAAAACCGCCTGAAATCAAGCTGAATGGAAGTCGTACAACTACGGAATGAAAGCAGCAGCCACATCCAGATTGGTAGGAGGGGCAGAGGCGCGACGGGCTGGTCCCGCACCCAAGTGTGGCAGATAAAAATCAGGAGGATCCCGCGGCTGGGAAGGTCCTTCCTGAGGACTGAGGGGTCCCCGTCCCACACCAGGTGCCCCACTCAGGGTTCCAGTGCCAGGAAGAGAAGTCCCCATAACTTCTGGCTGGAAAACCAGAGGGAACTGAGGCTCAGGGAAGCCGAAGCAGCTGGAGCCCCAGGCAGCTCCTTAAAGGGCCCGTGCACGGACTTACCAGACTCTCTCCCTCTAAGCTCGGAGGGGAGGCAGCTCCAGGGGCACCAGAGACACACAGGGAAGAACTGAGCTGTTTGGCACTGGAGTGAGGGCTGGAGAGGGAGCTTTCTCCGGGACAAATGTGCTGTCAGAGGCCTTTGTTCCTTTGGTGAGCCCTTCCCTGGGGCGGCAGACAGAAGCCATATCTGGGACTCCAGCAACCTGGCTCACACTGGTAGCCCCACCCTGGTTACCCCCTGAGGCCCCGCCCCACCCCACCCCACCCAACTTTCAGGCCCACCCACGCTGTTGCCACTTGCTTAACCATAGGATTGGCCTGTCTTGGATCCTGCTTCAGGTTTTCCTAAATTCTTTCAAACGAGCAGCATCTGGTCTCAGCTAACCCCATACCTCTCATTAAGTAATACACTGAAACAAACACAGGGAGGCAGCCAAAATGAGGAGACAGAGAAACAGGTCCCAAAGGAAAGAACAGAACAAAACCCCAATAAAAGAACTAAGCGAAATGGAGATAAGCAACCTAACAGATGCTGAGTTTAAAATACTGCTTATAAGGATGCTCAGTGAACTTAGTGAGGCCTCAAGAGCATAAAAAAAGGACCAGTCAGAAATCATAGATGCACAGTTAGAATTGAAGGAGGCATTAACTGAAATAAAGAATAATTTACACAGCTTCAATAATAGAGTACGTAAATCCAAGGAGCAAACCATCGATTTGGAATATAAGGAAGCATAAAATGCCCAATCAGAACAGCTAAAAGAAAAAAGAATCCAAAAAAATGAGGAGAGTATAAGGAGCCTCTGGGACAACTTCAAGCATGCCAACATTCGCATCTGGGGGGTGCCAGAAGGAGAAGAACGAGAACAAGAAATCGAAAACCTGTTTGAAACAATATTGGCAGAAAACTTTCCTAACTTGGTGAAGGAAACAGACATACAAGTCCAAGAAGCACAGAGAGTCCCAAACAAAATGAACCCCAAGAGGCCCACACCAAGACACATCATCATCAAAATGCAAAAGGTTCAAGACAAAGAGAGAATCTTAAAAGCAGCAAGAGAAAGGCAGCTAGTTACCTACAAGGGAGTTCCCATTAGGCTGTCAGCTGATTTCTCAAAAGAAACTTTGCAGGCCAGAAGGGAGTGGCAAGAAATATTCAGAGTGATGAAAAGCAAGAACCTACAACCAAGATTACTCTATTCTGCAAAGCTGTCATTTAGAATTGATGGCCATATAAAGACTTTCCCAGACAAGAAAAAGTTAAAGGAGTTCATCACCACCAAACCATTATTATATGAAATGATGAAGGGTCTTTTGGAAGAAAAAGATAAAATGTTTGAAGAAACAAAATGTCAATGAATACATATCTATCAACAATGGAATCTACAAACAAAATGAACAGGTAGAACAGAAACATTCTCATAGATACAGAGAACATTTTGTTGGTTGCCAGATGGGAGGGGGGTGGGGGAATGGGTGAAAAAGGTGAAGGGATTAAGAAGTACAAATTCATTGCTAGACTGACAAACCTCAAAGGGAAAGGGGTTGGGGGGGGTGGGAAGAAATAAACCAAAGAACTTATATGCATAACCAATGGACACAGACAATAGTGTGGGAAAAAACGGGAGGGGGGCGGGAGTGGGGAGGAGGGGGGTCAATGTGGAATATCCACAATAAAGATTTTACATTCCACAATAAAGATTTAAAAAAAAAAAAAGAAAGAAAATAATCCAAAATCTATTGTAATGATGGTTGCACAGATCTCTGAAAATGCTAAAAGCCACTGAATTATATACTTCAAATGGTTAAATTTTATGGAATGTAAACTATATCGCAATAAAACTGTTTTAAAAAACAAATTACAATGGTGAGGTATGTACCCTGATAGAGATGGATACAAGGTACTGTAGGGGTTCAGAATAAGTTGCCCCAGATATGCCTCTGTGGTATGCAGATTGTTTTGAGCTAAAGGCAACTGAGATCCTACTGGTTCAAGAGAAACTTCTGCCCTCACCACCTTAACTACCTGGAACAATTTGAATTTGGGCTCTTACCCATAAGAGATTATCAAAAACAATCTTTTTTTTTTTTTACCTATCTATAAAATAGGATAAACTGCTAATTATTGAACATCTGCTCTTCACATCATCCTGAGAATGACCAACCTCTCCTCTGAAGCCAGAAGGTGTTTTACTTCATCCTTAGCTCAGGATGCCACATATATCTCATTTTCCTTTTCTGTCTCTGAACCTCTCATGCATGTTGGGATTCTTACTCTCTCATGTATGTGTGGTTCCCATACATATGTATGCAATTAAATTGTGTTATTTTCTTTTGTTACTCTGTCTCACATCAAGTTAATTATTAGACCCACTGAAAAAATTTAAAGAGTAGAGGAAAATTTCTTCCTCCCCCACAGCACAGACGGCAGAAGCTAGGAAAGAAAGGAGGTCAGAAAAAGCTTCCCAGGGTAAATAGGAAATTGTCAGTCATGGGGTATGGTTTTTGTTTTTTTTTTAATTAAATTCTTCACTGAGATTCTAGGGAGAGGGAGGTCACAGGAGGGGAACATCTTGGGTGTAGGGAATCTCAAGATACATCTAAAAAAACTTGTTTAGATTGTCCAAACACAAACCCCAAGTGTGGGAGGGATGGAGACGCCATGGGTTGAATTAGCAAAGCAGCAGGTGACAAAGCACAACAGCCTGCACTCCCAGCCAAGAACCTTCAACTGAATATTTTACTGGAAAAGGAATTAGTGGAAAATGAGGAGCAGCGGAAGAACAGCTGTCACTTTTGTTTTAGAAAGACAGATGACCGCCAGTGTGGAAACTAGACAGACGGGGATGAGTCTAGGGACAGGCCAGCCCATTTATTTATATTAGCTGTTATAAATTGTTGTCACAGTCAATTTAATCCTTTCCTAAACATTAAGTTTGAACTGCTGCAAAGAGAAATCAGTCCAGGATTGTGTCTTTCTTCAAAACATAGCTGACAAGACAGACTATTGAAAACAAAGCAGTTATTATTATAAAATAATAATAATAAAATCATATATAATTTTAAATGTCCTGATAATATAATAAAAATAAGAGTAATAATAAAAATATCATATAATTTTCAATGTTCTGATAGTGTAGTGAAAAAATAATAATAGCCCCTTATGACTTTAGGCAAAAGCCAGAAACAAAATGACAATGACCCAATCCAGAAAGATAAACAAGCTACTTACCACAGGAACACGAGCATTTGGCTCAAATTCTGTGGAATCAGCATCTGAAGATTAAGAAATGAATCCAATAATTCACCAATATTGCTGAAAAAATATTTTAAGTAAAAAGACTTTTGTTAAATAAAAGGTTAGTCGATAAATCTCAGACTTACCTTTCAAGTTAAGGCAGTTCCTTGCAAACTCTATCACTGCTAGTTGCATCCCAAGGCAAATTCCTATTTTAAAAAGCACATATATAAAGCAAATGAACATATGTTGTATTTCTTCATATTTTTTGTTCATCTGTTTGCTGTCTGTCTCCACCATCTAGAGTGCAGGCTCTGAGAGAGCAAGCCTCTGACCGTTGGCTTCACTGCTGGACCCTATGCACTCAGAACATCTGTTGCAGAGGCTCGGAAGGGGGTGAGACAACTTGAACTTGAAGAGGAAAGAATTCAAGGTCAAAAAAGGGCAGGAAAGGGTAGGGCAAGTTCCAAAAGGCAAACCTCCCTCCCTCCAAATATGACTCTAAATTGAGGCACATGTATGGACTGCAAAGCTGTCCCAGAGCGCTCCAGTCCTTCAGAGAATATCTAACAATACCTAATCAAGAGGGGGCTCCAAACTCCCACTTCTCAGTTTCACAGCTTTAATTATGGGCTTTGCCTGAGGGCAGTCTCAGGCTGGCCAGTGGGCTGGGATCTGAAGAACACCAACAGGTGGGCAGGGGAACCCAGAACAGCCCTATAACCTCACTGTAGGAAAATGGCACCTCCACTTTGCGATTAAGTGTGGTGGAAAGAAGGGCAGGGAGATGCAAAATGGAACTGAACAAAGAGCTCAATAAGGAGAAAGAAACTTATGTAGCCCCAGGCCTGTTGCCACAGGGATGTGCCCTTCACCCATCTCCACATTCACTGAGGCCCACCAATTTCTGTCCACTAAACAAATGCCAAAGAGCATTCCAGATGCTCTGAGAGGCATATCCAAGGTACACAAGAGATTCAAAGGAGAGAGCCATCAATATACCAAACATGCCAGGACAAAACTCAGTAAGCATGAAAGAGCTGAGTGAAGGTCCCACATGGCTAGGACACAAAGAGGTGCTGTGTTTAAGAGAAAGTTAGAGTTGACAACTGTTCTATGCAAAGATAATTATCTGAAGAACACTAACCACATTTAGACAGAAAACAAACAAGATTACTTCAAAAGAAAACAATGGCCCAGAAGGGTAAAACAAAACAAGGTATCAAGGCAACTACTCCTGGCTTCTCTTTTGAAAATGGATCCCAGGAAGCTAATCAAAGAACAGGCGATGGGAAAAATGAATAGTCTGCTGATAGTAAAAGGTACCCAAGCCTGACAACTAGGTCTGCAAACCCACCAATACATCCAAGCACAGTGTGAAACACAGCCTCTCCCTACTTCCTCTCCTGCCTGTATCTCTACCTGCAGGGCTGCCTTTATCCCATCAAGGATCCATTTCATCTGGTTTCACTGGCACAGAAGCCACGCTTTGCAATTTGTAACAAAAGCATTAAAAAGACCCAGCTCTACTAAATTTTAACAGAGCTGTTCCTGTAACGTTGGACGGTCTTTCTGTATTATCTTTTCTAGAAGGAGCATATAAATTTCAATTTCACCATTTTTTATTCTGATTAGAAAGAATATTATGAAGTTCTGATGAATGGTTCTCTACTTTAAGTGGTAAAAAGATGGATTTGGATGGGAATCTGAAGTCAGGGCAGGTATAGACAGCAACTTCTCGCAGCCTCTTGCTACAAACCAGAGCAATGATAAGTTCTCCAAACTTTTTCTGTAAAGGGCCAGATAGTAAAGATTTCTGGCTTTGCAGGCTGTAGGGTCTCAAACTCTGACATTGTATCACAAAAGCTGCCATACACAATATATAAACAAATTGGTGTGGCTATGTGCCAATAAAACTTCATTTATAAAAACAGCCCATAGCCCAGCTGGTGTGGCTCAGTGGTTGAGCGTCAACCCATGCAACAAGAGGTCGCCAGTTCGGTCAAGGCACATGCCCAGGTTGTGGGCCAAATTCCCAGTGAGGGGGGCATGCAGGAGGCCGCCAGTCGATGCTCTTTCTCATCGATATTTCGCTCTCTCTCTCTCCCTCTCCCTTCCTATCTTTCTAAAATCAATAAAGAAAAAAAAATTTTTTAATAAAAAATAAAAACAGCTCTGACCGGTTGAGCTCAGTGGTTGCAGCATTGGCCCAAGGACCAATGAGTCCTGGGTTTGATTCTGGTCAAGGGTACTTACCTTGGTTGCAGTTCATCCCGGCCCTGGTAAGGGTCATGTGGGAGGCAACCAGCTGATGTGTTTCTCTCACATCGATGTCTTTCTCTCTCTCACATCGATGTCTTTCTCTCTCTCTCTCTCTCTCTCTCTCTCTCCCTCCCTCCCTCCCTCCTCCCACTCTATCTGAAGATAAATAGAAAAAAAAAAATTTCTTCACTGAGAATTAAAAAATAAAATAAAAATAAAAACAGCCCAAATGCCAGGTTTAGTCTTCAGGATATAGTTTGCTGACCCTTGTAGCAGACTATTTGGTATTGAATATTCAAATCTGAGATCACATCTTTTATATTAACAAACCCTATTAAGTGTTACCCCTACCAGGTGTCAAAAATCTAATAAAGTCATAGTTAGGATCATAAACATGAGTTTTACCCAGAAAAGGAATCTTCTTTGCCCTTGCCCAAGAAATCGCCTGGAGTTTTCCCAATGTTCCTCTGATTCCGAAGCCTCCTGGCACCAGAACACCACTGTAATCAACACAAGATGAGAGTGAATTTGACATTATTTTTTATTTTTGAAACTCTTATTTTCAGCCTTTCATACTTCCTGATCCTCAATCTAACGCTAGAGCATATGCTTGAGGTCTGTATTCAGAACTGATTACATGATCTAACACCTGAACTTTCTTTTTGAAATCTTCCCAGCATATGAAGAAGCTGCAACAATTTCTCACAGCTGACCTCGATATATATTTTTCTGATAGGTCTTTGTGACATGAGCATAGTAACTGAGCAACTCAACTGAATGTAAAATGCTACTGGATTATCTGAATAAAAATAGTTTAAGGTTTTTTTAAAAAAGCACTATTATAAAAATGTTAAGAACTCTTATATAATTAGAAAGAAATTTCTGGTAAAATCAACCTAAGATTTCAATTGCTAATTAAGTAGAACACATAAAAATGTCCTTGTTAGAAGACACTTTAGAGAATTTCTAGACAGTCATTTGAAAAGACAAGAGTTCAAGAGAAAAACTAGGAGGGTCATGCTACCCTCACAATGCAATGCTACCCTCAAGAGTTCTGTCCATCAATTATAAAATTAAAATTAAATGGTGTTGAAAAGAAAATATAACCAAGAGGAGGGTTGTCATCCTTGCACTTTAACTTTGTGTAAGATTCATCTCTGCATCTTTCAGTACAATCAACATACTTTCTCTTTAACACAGGATCCCTATTGTCCCCAAAACAAAACCAGTTCCATTGCACATGCCACTAACATTAACACAGCACATTACAAAGTAAATGCGGTATGAATGTGGCACAACCACACATAATGACCACAAATATTCCAGGCTACCTTTCAAAATGCACAAAAATTAATAATTGGGGTCAATCAAGTCATTATAGAAAAAGCACAGTAGCATTCTCCTAACTGGTGTGAACCGTCTCCAGGACTCACTCAGCTTTGCATAGCTTCTGCCATGCTTCATGGAATTTCACAGGGTCCTCAGATTCAGTGGTGTGCTCCAGATCAATGGAATCTATGTACTGAAAACATCCAACAGATTAAAGGAACAGTTAAGAAAAGTAAATACTCAGAAATACAAGAACTATCTAACACTATGACAAAATTATTCAATAACTACTTGTTATGTAAACACTGTATTGGACACTTGGGACAGAAAAGCATGATCTCTGTCTTGGAGCTCTTATAATCTTTAAAGAAGATTATGGAAACAGATAAATAGGCAGCAACAACACAGTGGGATAATGACCATAATGAGCAAAGAAGAAAATGCAGCAGAAGTAACCAGGAGCCACACCTAATCTAGACCTGGACACTGGAGGAAAGAAGGGAGGTGGTGTCCTCAGGGAAGACTGCTGGGTAGGTGATGTGCAAAAAGCTAAGTCCTCGCCCTGGCCGGTTTGGCTCAGCGGTTAGAGCGTCGGCCTACGGTCTGGAGAGACCCGGGTTTGGTTCCCGCTAAGGGCGCGTACCTCGGTTGCAGTTTGTCCCCGGCCCTGGTCGGTTGTGTGGGTGGCAACCACTCGATGTGTTCCTTTCACATCGATGTTTCTCTCTCTCTGTTCCTCTCTCTCCCTCCCACTCTGCCTGAACAAAGAAAAAGGAAAAATGTCCTCGGGTGAGGATAAAAAAAAAAAAAAAAAAAAAAAAAAAAAAGCTAAGTCCTCAAGGATAAGCGGAAGATGAGCATGTGTGTGCATATTGGGAGGCAGGTGGAAAGGTGTGCAGAAGATAAAAGGGAGAAAGGGTGAGGAGGGAAGTAACAGTGTATGAAACCTCAGAGAAAGAGAGAAAGTGGTGGCCACTCTGGGGCCCTCAAAAGAGGCTCCACCCAAGCAGATAAGTTTACAGTTGAAGCCACTGAAAGGTTTTAAATAAAGGGACAACAGGAACAACGAGAACAGAGAGAGGCTTTAGAAGGATCTTCTGGGACAATGTGGGAAATGGAGGAAGGACTGGAAAGCAGTAGGGAAGTCACTGCAGTAGGCCCAGCAACATAAACACAAAATAGACTGCCCTTAAAAAGAATCTGCCGCCCTGGCCGGTTTGGCTCAGCGGTTAGAGCGTCGGCCTGTGGTCCTGAGAGACCCGGGTTCGGTTCCCGCTAAGGGCACGTACCTCGGTTGTGGTTTGTCCCCGGCCCTGGTAGGTCGTGCGGGTGGCAGCCACTCGATGTGTTCCTTTCACATCGATGTTTCTCTCTCTCTCTGTTCCTCTCTCTCCCTCCCACTCTATCTGAACAAAAAATGGAAAAATGTCCTCAGGTGAGGATAAAAAAAAAAAAAAAAAAGAATCTGCCAGACTTCCGGTCAAGATGGCGGCATAGGTAACCGCAGTATCGCGTCCTCCCACAACCACATCAAAGTTACAACTAAACTACAGAACAACCATCATTCAAAACTGCCTGAAAGCAAGCTGAATGGAAGTCCTACAACTACGAAATTAAAGCAGCAGCTGCATCAAGACTGGTAGGAGGGCGGAGGGGACGGGCTGGTCCCACACCCACGTGTGGCGGATAAAAATCAGGAGGACACCTCGGCTGGGAAGGTCCTTCCTGAGGACTGAGGGGTCCCCGTCCCACACCAGGTGCCCCACTCAGTGTTCCAGTGCCAGGAAGAGAATCCCCATCACTTCTGGCTGGAAAAACCAGCAGGAACTGAGGCTCAGGGAGGCTGAGGCAGCTGGAGCCCCAGGCAGCTCCCTAAAGGGCCCGCGGACTTATCGGACTCTCTCCCTCTAAGCTTGGAGGGGAGGCAGCTCGAGGGGCGCCAGAGACATACAGGGAAGAACTGAGCTGTTTGGCACTAGAGCGAGGGCTGGAGAGGGGGCTTTCTCAGGGACAAACATGCTGTAAGAGGCCTTTGTTCCTTTGGTGAGCCCTTCCCGAGGGTGGCAGACAGTCTCCATATCTGGGACTCCAGCAACCTGTCTCACACTGGTAGCCCCACACTGGTGACTCCCTGAGGCCCCGCCCCGGCCCACCCAACTTTCAAGCCCACCCAACTTTCAAGCCCACCCAAGCTGTTGCCACTTGCTTAACCATAGGATTGGCCTGTCTTGGATCCTGCTTCAGGTTTTTCCTAAATTCTTTTAAATGAGCAGCATCTGGTCTCAGCGAGCCCCATACCTCTCATTAAGTAATACACTGAAACAGACACAGGGAGGCAGCCAAAATGAGGAGACAAAGAAACAGGTCCCAAATGAAAGAACAGAACAAAACCCCAGGAAAAGAACTAAGCGAAATGGAGATAAGCAACCTAACAGATACTGAGTTCAAAATACTGCTTATAAGGATGCTCAATGAACTTAGTGAGAACCTCAGTGAACTTAGTGAGGCCTCAAGAGCATAAGAAAAGGACCAGTCAGGCCCTGGCCGATTTGGCTCAGCGGTTAGAGCTTCGGCCTGCGGTCCGGAGAGACCTGCGTTCGGTTCCCGCTAAGGGCGCGTACTTCGGTTGCAGTTTGTCCCCGGCCCTGGTTGGTCGTGTGGGTGGCAGCCACTCAATGTGTCCCTTCACATCGATGTTTCTCTCTCTCTCTCCCTCCCACTCTATCTGTACAAAAAATGGAAAGATATCCTCGGGTGAGGATAAAAAAAAAAAAAAAAGGACCAGTTAGAAATCATGGATACACAGTTAGAATTGAAGGAGGCATTAACTGAAATAAAGAATAATTTACACAGCTTCAGTAATAAAGTATGTAAATCCAAGGAGCAAACCATTGATTTGGAATATAAGGAAGCAAAAAACACACAATCAGAACAGCAAAAAGAAAAAAGAATCCAAAGAAATGAGGATAGTGTAAGGAGCCTCTGGGACAACTTCAAGCGTGCCAACATTCGCATCTTGGGGGTGCCCGAAGGAGAAGAGAGAGAACAAGAAATCTGAAAACCTGTTTGAAACAATAATGGCAGAAAACTTTCCTAACTTGGTGAAGGAAACAGACATACAAGTCCAGGAAGCACAGAGAGTCCCAAACAAGATGAACTCCAAGAGGCCCACACCAAGACACATCATCATCAAAATGCAAAAGGTTCAAGACAAAGAGAGAATCTTAAAAGCAGCAAGAGAAAAGCAGCTAGTTACCTACAAGGGAGTTCCCATTAGGCTGTCAGCTGATTTCTCAAAAGAAACTTTGCAGGCCAGAAGGGAGTGGCAAGAAATATTCAGAGTGATGAAAACCAAGAACCTACAACCAAAATTACTCTATCCTGCAAAGCTGTCATTTAGAATTGATGGACATATAAAAACTTTCCCAGACAAGAAAAAGTTAAAGGAGTTCATCACTACCAAACCGTTATTATATGAAATGATGAAGGGTCTTTTTGAAGAAAAAGATAAAATGTATGAACAAACAAAATGGCAATGAATACATATCTATCAACAATGGAATCTACAAACAAAATGAACAGGAAGAACAGAAACATTCTCATAGATACAGAGAACATTTTGTTGGTTGCCAGATGGGAGGGGGGTGGGGGAATGGGTGAAAAAGGTGAAGGGATTAAGAAGTACAAATTCATTGCTAGACTGACAAACCTCAAAGGGAAAGGGGTTGGGGGGGGGAGAAATAAACCAAAGAACTTATATGCATAACCAATGGACACAGACAATAGTGTGGGAAAAGGTGGGAGGGAGGCGGGAGTGGGGAGGAGGGGGTCAATGGGGGAAAAATGTGGAACATCTGTAATACATTTTACATCCAACAATAAAGATTAAAAAAAAAAAAGAAAAGAATCTACCAGGACCATGACTCACATAGTAATGAGTAGAAGTTAATGTCAATGAATTCTATTAAACGACAACTCATGTACAACAATCTTTATGTACATCAAGTCCCCATATATCTATATTGTATTAGTATTTTTTCTATAAAATTATCTGACTATAGTCCTGGCTGGTTTGGCTCAGCGGTTAGAGCATCAGCCTGCGGTCCACAGAGACCCGGGTTCAGTTCTCGCTAAGGGTATACACCTTGGCTGCGGTTTGTCCCTGGCCCTGGTTGGGTCGTGCGGGTGGCGGCCATTCAATGGGTCCCTTTCACGTCAATGTTTCTCTCTCTTTCCCTCCTGCTCTAGATGAATAAAAAACAGAAAAAATGTCCTCAGGTGAGGATAAAAAAAAAAAATTATCTGACTATATCTTACGATAAAAACTTTTAAAGGTTTAATAAAATTTGCATCATAACAATTTTTCTATTGCTGCTTTCTTTTTTCTACAAGGGGGTGGAGGACTTAGAGGAGTGGGAAGAACAGGAAGTGCAATATTCCTTGGAAAACCAAAAATAAAAAGTGGTTAGAAAAGAAGGCTACAGCCCTGGCTGGTTTGGCTCAGTCGTTAGAGTGTTGGCCTGCAGACCAATGAGTCGCAAGTATGATTCTGGTCAAGGGCACACACCTCGATTGCAGTTTGTCCCCGGCCCTGGTCAGGGTCGTGCGGAAGGCAACCAGCCGATGTGTCCCTCTCACGTCAATGTTTCTCTCTCTCTCTCTCCCTCCCTCCCTCCCACTCTATCTGAAGATAAATAGGAAAAAAAATGTCCTTGGGTAAGGATTGGAAAAAAAGAAAGAAAGGAAGGCTACAAGAGGTAAGAGAAAAGTCATAGGTCCTAAGCTGGTGTCTAAGTAGAAGTTACTAAATTTCTTGGACATATAAATGCATCTTTTTGCTCATTGTATAAAAGTTTCACCATTTAAATCACAATAAAGCTTGCTTGAACCATGACATACCTATGCAAAATATCATTAAATATAAGCATTTATATAGAGAGAAAAGTCTAGAAAAACATGCATCAAACTGAGAATGACAGGTACAAGAGAGAAGCGAAATATCAGGGAAGAGGAATCTTTCACTTTCTGTATTTTACATGACACTTGTAAAATTTTTCTACACTGAGCAGGCACTTCTATATCTCACAAACACTAAGAATATGCTCAAGCTATATATGATAACTCCACCTCTGCTATCCCTTAATACTAATTTTGAAAAACAAATAATCACCCTTTGCCAGATATCACTCCTCCAAGTCAGAAAAGACAATATAACATTTTAAAAATCTGGATCGAATTTCAATGCTAAAGGGGGGGAAAGTTCTATTATTTTCTTGTTAGGCAAATACAATGAGCACAAAGTATGTATGGCCCTGGATATACAAAGCCTAATTTCAGAAACCGTGCCTTAAACCTGTGCACTGAACAAAGTTAGCATGGCTATCGGTGGAAAGGCCTGCTTACAAGGTTGGCACTTGGTTGGCATTTGGAAACCTGGAATTGGGGATCCTTCAACAAATCTACCTCTCTGAAACACAAGCTGTCAGAGTGAAATGACTGAAATATCCAGACAACCAGGCCGGGACTCACCATCAGATTCAACTTGTGGTTGATGGCCAAGGCTGAGTGTTCCAAAGCTTTGAACACAGAGGCATAGCAGTCCCTCAACTTGGTGTATTTGCCAACCAGGGCTATGGAGCACATTTTCTGTAACCTTTCATACCTGGGAGGGAAGATAAGCTTAAGGTTATACACATGTAACATAACATCACAAACATAATGACAACCACTGTTCATATCCCAAAAAACTTTTCATATATAGTCGTCTTTTTTCTTCTGAATGTATCTTAGCGCCATTCTCCTTTGCAAATTCAGACCTTTCCTTCCTCCCCTTTCATGTTTTTGTTGTCACAAATTATACCTATTTATGCCTTGAGTTCATTTCCAAATTGCAGTAGCTATTGTCTTCTCTCTTTTTAAATGTTTTTACCTCCTCTAGCCTTCATGTGATATTTTAAAAATGTGGAACTCTTCACAAATTTGGGTGTCATCCTTGCGCAGGGACCATACTCATTTTCTCTGTATCGTTTCAATTTTAGTATATGTACTGCCGAAACAAGCACCCAAGGCACTTTACAAAATCTTAGGAGCAGACAAGCCTTGAACTTGATGTACTTGATTCAAATCTCCACTCCATCCCCAAAGAATTCAAACCTGTATGCAGACAGATTTTCAAAATCATAAGAAATCGCAATGTTGGTTTACATAAGCAAGCACAGATGTAAATCAGAGAAAAAGTTAAAAGCATTAAAAATATTTTAAAAAGCTGTCCCTATCTTATAAACATCAGTTGTCCTTAAATTCATTTATAAGGTGGCTTTGTATAAAAAAATGCATTCTGAGTGTCAATAGGAAACACTCCAATATTAACTTTGTATGGTGACATTATAGTTTTTAAAAATGCATTCAAAGTGCCTACATTAAAAATTGCTATACCTATATAATTTTATTAACCAATGTCACCCTAATAAATTCAATAAATTTTTTTTTAATTGCTACATTCCCAGCCAGCACACAAAAGCCAGGTTATTCATGGCATGCCTGAAGAATGGTGCTAAGAGAACTATTTAAAATGTTACAAGGCATTTAGATCATTGTTATGAGAAAATTCCATTCTACACAAGATGCTCAATCACATATTACCATTAGAGACACAATCTTTACTGTTGATTTTGTCAGAAAATCTGTTCAAGGATCATGAAAAATGTCTGGTCTGATACTAAGTATGTGGAAATGTCATCTTGGGGGCTGAAGATATTTTAGGGCTTGGAAGCAAACCTTCCTCCAACACCTTAGAACAAAAATGTTACTGTGATGAGGAATATTTCTCATCAACATCTGCAAGGAGCACAAGAGCAACATGGTGGCAAACAGGCTAGGAGGGGAAAATGCACAAGAAGCAAAGAAGTCAAACTAGCAGTAAAGGTGACCTTCTAGGAAGGTGACTAAAGTATCTGAGAGAAGGCTGCTAAACCTTCCACTTGCTACTTAATTTTATGTTGCTCTGGAGATTGCGTAGCTGTCCTTGCTTCACCTCAGCTCTACATAAAGGATCCAGGTAACAAAGCTAGTTGGTATCAAAGCCAATATTCCAAGAGACAGCAGAAGTATGTGCTTCCTGTCCCAATGTTTGGCCCATAGGAACTGGAGATCACAACCACATTTGAGCACAGCAACTTGACTGAGCCCTCACCCCCATTGTCACTTCTACGCTGAGGGAGGGACATCAGCTCTGCTCACTGGAAGGAAGCAGGACTGGAGTCAACACTACCAGGTCCTGCTTCCGCTCAGTCATGTCTGTTCTTCCAGGGAAAGAGGAGTCACTCAGCAGCTGGGTGGGATAGGTAAGTCCAATGGGTCACACTAATCAGGAAGGAGGGCCACTGTCCAGGAAGGTATCCTGGGCCTACCCTTCTGGTGCCCTCTTTCCCTCTCGGACCTGCAGCCCAGGCTACAGAGCAATGCCCCGGCCAGCCGAGCCCCTACCTCATGGTCTTTCAACCATCACCTGGGTACGAGAGGCAGGCTGCTGACACTGCTATGAGCTGCTGGTAGGAGGCAGACCTGGGGTCCACTTTGCAGGCCCCAAGTCCCCTTACTTGACTGATAAGCAAGGTTATCCACACTTCAGCCTTGGGCCCCACACAAGCTCTCCCCTTCAGTTCAATGAGGAACCCCTGGCCTCTGAGCAGCACTGGACTTCCATGATCAAAGCTACCCTTTGACCTGTTTGCCTCTACAGGCTGTACTGAGGGGACAGGGCCTAAAAAAATGAACACTCCAAACCGCCATTACCGATAAACCCACATCACCGCCAACATGATGCAGAGGGACCGATGTTCAATACCCACCCTCAGAACCTGTGAATGTGACCATATTTGGAAAATGGATCTTTGCAGATGCAATTAAGTTAAGGATCTCAAGATGAGGTCATCCTGGATTAGGATGGGCCCTAAATCCAAAAATAAGAATCGTTATAAAAGAAGAGAAGGGGGGAAGACACAGAGAAGTCTATGCGACAACAGAGGCGGAGATTGGAGTGCTGTGGCCATAAGCCAAGGAACACCAAGGACTGCTGGCAGCCCCCAAAGCTAGAAGAGACAAATGGACCAGATTTTCCCTCTGAGCCTCTCCCAGAGGAACCACTCTGCGGATGCCTTGGTTTTGAACCTCTGACCTCCACAACTGTGAGAGGATGAATTTCTGCTGTTTTAAGCCACCCAGTTTGTGGTACTTTGTAGCAGCAGCCACAGGAAACTAATTATATCTGGCTTTAAACACTGGCTTTAAAAAGCACAGAGGCATAGAGTATAATTTAGAGCTATTTCCAATAAAAAGAGTTAAAATATTAAAATGTCTCATGCTTAAAGAGGATCAGCCCCAAGCTACTCTGAAAATTCCTACAAAGTGACTGATTCCGTAAGCATTCTGGAGGGCAGGGGCTTAATTTATCATCCTTCATAAGAGTACCTAAGCTCAGAAGCTGCTCTTTATTCCTGATTCTACTTGACCTAGAAATTCCAAACCTTTTACACTTTTAAGTGAAAGGGCAAGGGAACTTCAATCTACTAATCATCTACCAAGGTCAGTAATTTTGTCACCATATCATTTTAATTATTGTTACCAACATCAGTAATCAATACTCAGTGTCTGATTCAATGTTAAGGCCTTCTGTGTTTTCTCTCATAATTGCCACAATGTGGGTACTAATATCCCCTTGTTATATATGGATGGGAGAACAAGCCCAGAGAGGTTAAGTAATCTGCACCAAACTCACACAGCTAGTGAAAGGAGAAGCTGGGGTTTGCTTGATACCAAAGCCTACATTTTTAAATTTTAGATATAATTGACATGTAGCATATTAGTTTTATAGGTACAACATAATTTGATATATGTAGATATTGCTAAATGATCACGACAATAAGTTTAGTTAACATCTGTCACCACATATATTCATAAATTGTTTTGTTTTTTGTTGTTGTTGTTTTTTAATCCTCACCCAAGGATATTTTTCCATTGATTTTTAGATAGTAGGAGGGATGAAGGGAGAGTGAGAGAAACATCAATGTGAGAGAGACACACTGATTCGTTGCCTTCCGCACAACAGGGCCGGGGATGAACCTGCAACCGAGGTACATGCCCTTGACCAGGAATCAAACCCACTACTCTTTGGTCCACAGCTGAGGCTCTAACCTCTGAGCCAAACTGGCCAGAGCACAAATTGTTTTTCTTGTGATGAGAACTATTTCTTTATTTGACAGAGAGAGAGAGAAACATTGATCAGTTGCCTCCCACACATGTCCTAAGTGGGGATTGAACCTGAAACCTGGGATGTGCCCTGACCAAGAGTCGAACCCGCCCTGGCCGGTTTGGCTCAGCGATTAGAGCGTCAGCCTGCGGTCCGGAGAGACCCGGGTTCAGTTCCCGCTAAGGGCATGTACCTTGGTTGCAGTTTGTCCCCGGCCCTGGTTGGTTGTGCGGGTGGCGACCACTCGATGTGTCCCTTTCACATCGATGTTTCTCTCTTTCTCTGTTCCTCTCTCTCCCTCCCACTCTACCTGAACAAAAAATGGAAAAAGGTCCTCGGGTGAGGATGATAAAAAAAAAAAAAAGAGTCGAACCCGCCACCTTTTGGTCTATGGGATGACACTCCAACCAACTGAGCCACCCGGCCAGGGCTTGTGATGAGAACTTTTAAGATCTACTGTCTTAGCAACACCAGAGCCTATATTTGTAACTGCTGCACCTCCTGCCTCTCCCTCAGCTGCGTAAGAAGTCAGGAAGCCAGGACTTTATGCAGCCATACCTCATCCACAGTTAATAAAAGGAAACAGGTGATGTAGATTTAATTTCCATATGACTTGAAATAAGACAAACCTTGCTGAAATTAATATGGTTGTCTTAATGTTAAAACCTATCAGGGGTTTTAATAATGATGCTGATAGTTAATAAATGCAGGATGAAATAACAATGTAGTCAAAACTTCCCATTCTAAAGCATTTTCTTTAGGAAATTGTTAACCAAATCTTAAAAACAAGAAAAACAAAACAAAAAACTCATGACATGTAAAACTGTTTAAAATATTCAGAAACTAAGAAATAAACTAGTAAATAAATCAAAATGTTTCAAAGGCCCCAGAAATCTTCTAAGAATACAGCAAAACATTCTAACAACGTGCAAGAGCTTTAGACATATCCATACAAAAACATACACATACAGAAAGCCAAATGCAACATAGGTACCTTTTAAGGTACATCTCAGTCCTACTCCCAAACCCAAGAATTATTAAAGATTACTTTAGTAATTCTTTTCACATACCTGTCAGCCATATTTCTCCACTTGAAAAGCAAATTATTTGCAGAATCACCAATGGGCAAATCCAATCTCTCTTTAAAATATTTAACAATGCCTTGTTCCTCCAAAAGCACAGGTACTCGGTATGTGGAAGAAACATCATGGATACATATGACCTGGTTGATGATAAAACATCATATTTAAGTGGAATGACTCAAATATACCACAGAATAAGCCAGAACTCAAGAGTCTGGCAGTACATTCATTTATACTGATAGAAGAAAACCAAGAGCCCAGCCATTTAAACCGGAGGCAGAATTAACACAAGGTTAGTTTGATCGAATTACAAAATGTTTTGAATTCATTACTCTACCCCTGGAACCATGAAAGCTGTGGTAGAATAAAAAAAACATATAGTATGTGGTCTTTGATCTCATCTCCTGACAGAACTTCAAAAGGACTTGGAGAGTATTATGCTAAGTGAAATAAGTCAGTCAGAGAAAAACAAATATCACATGATCTCACTCATGTATGGAACATAATGAACAAAATAAACTGACAAACAAAATAGATCCAGAGACATGGAAGTAGGGAACAGACTGATGGGGGGACATATGTAATATTTTCAACAATAAAAAAAATAAATGAATAAATATTTTTAAAAAGAAAAATGAGAAACAAACAAACAAAAAAAAACCTTTGGAATTTTCTGAGAAACAGGAGAATCTTTGTTATACTAATGAGGTGACTCAGGCTGGCCCCTAGATGGCTTCAGGATGGGAGTTAAGACACCAGAAAAACCAACCAAGTCATTAGAGGGCTGGAACTTTCAGCCATCTGACCTCCAGGGAGGGGACATGGGGAGCAGGCCGTTTCCTAGAGATTGAGTTCGATCACATGACCAATGATTTAATCACACCTACATAATGAACCCCTAATAACATGAAGACTCAGAGGAGCATCCTGGTTGGTGAATATACAAGTGTGCAGGAGGGTGGCTCACCCTGACTCCATGGAGATTACAACTCTCGCACTCAGGACCCTCCTAGACCTAGCCCTATGTATATCTTCATCTTGGTGTATATTTGCACCCTCTATAATAAAGCAATAATCATAAATACAGCACTTTCCTGAGTTCTGTGAGTCATTGTAGAGAATTCTCAACCCAAGGGGTTGTGGGAAGCCCCAAATTGTAGTCAGCCAGGCAGAAGTGTGGGTGGCTTGGGGACACTGGAAACTTGTGGCTGGTGTCTGAAGTCAGGGAAGTCTTGGAAAGGACTGAGCCCAGAAACCTATGGAGTCTGACTCTCACTCTGGGTACTTAGTGTGAGAATTGAATTACAGGACCCCCAGCTGATGTTAGACAATTGGTGTGGGAACATGGATGCTTCTTTATATGTCAATATCAAGACACATGGCCCAAGGCACCATCTTCTAAGTCTAGGTGAAAGTAGTAGCATTGAACACATACACCTTGTCTCCTAAATGTGTGTATGTAGTTTGTGTGTTCATTCATTTGTTGCTGTTGCTGCTGCTGTAGTTGCTTTTATCCGCTCCCTTCTTTTGGGCAAATTTACAAACCCACATTGAATATAGCCAAATTAATTACACCTGTTAGAAGAGACGGGCTCCTTTGCCAGGTGGTGTGGTTGTTTTTCACACTTACCCTAACGAGCTTTCACCGCCCTCTCAAGTACGTCCAAAAAGCTACTGGCAGACACTTAAGGATCTGCTACATCCTAAATAAATGCCAAGAAATGTTCTGCCAACAGTATGTGCGCAATCCTCCCAAATCCATAGCTATCCAACCAGGGGTTCCTAAGCTGTTTGGACATCATCAACCTGATACTTAAGATTAGTGTGCCTCACTTGTGCATTCACCAACACAGTTGAAAGGGCTGAAATGTCACTGATATGAGGCTCTGTCACAATTACTATTTAAAACAAAACCTCTGGCCCTATCCAGTTTGGCTCAGTGGTTACAGTGTCAGCCCGCAGACCAGAGAAGCCTGGGTTCAGTTCCCACTAAGGGAACAGTTTGTCCCCAGCCCTGGTTGGGGTCGTGTGGGTGGCAACCACTCGATGTGTCTCTCTCACATTGATGTTACTCTCTCTTTCTCTCTCCCCACCCCCTCCTGCTCTATCTGAAGATAAATGCAAAAATGTCCTTGGGTGAGGATAAAAATAAATTAATTAAAAAAATGAAATCTCTGGACAACTACAACTGCCACAAGTGGAAGGCATGGAGTGTGGAGCTATTTACTCATCCTCTAGGCCAGAGAGATTTTTTTTTAATGTCATAGTAATAGGCCACATCCATAGAAACACCTCCGATTCTCCATCCTGTCCTCAGTAACGCTAATGAGAAGAGCTTCAAATGCAAATTCACCAGGAACTATGAAGTGGGAGCATTAACTCAAAGCAGAAAAAACGATGTGCTGAAAATGGCTAATAAACCGGCCTGTGGACTGATATGGGACGGAGCATTCTTCAGCATCTCTAGTCATATAGAAAACACTCGATATGGTCAAAAGTTTAGTTTAAATCTGTTCTCACAGCTGAGAACGAAACAGGGGCTCTGTAAATCTGACAAACTCAGGGACCGAAAGTAACTTCACAGGGTGATCTGATCACAACTTCCTAACTGGGCAGATCATGGTGGGTAATCACACTTCAGGCCCATTAATTTCCCTAGTGAAAAGTTTATCTTTGCCTTAAGCAAGCCCTGTCCATTGTTCTTCGGGGTTAACATACCTTTGAAATGCTAGAGTAATCCTCCTTTTTGGACTCCTCAGAGGTATAACCAACCTCAAGGGAGCATGTGATCTTGTTGACTACCCTATAATCTAATCCCACCTTGCTTTCTCCCACCTTCGTGTAATCGCCCTTACATTCCCTCCTTAATTCCAAATGTAGAAAAGCACTGCAAAACTGTCATTCTCCAGAGCATTTGAGATTTTGCTTCCCGGCATTCATCAGTTTGGCTCACATAGACTCAAGTTTGGATGTTCTTATATTGACAGAGCTCTCAGCAACCCAACTCTAAAAGCTATATTCTCCTTCTGTTTAGGACACAAAATACTCTTTAGCAATAGGAAGGGTACAAAAAACAATTGAACAAAATCAAAATGGCTTGACAACATGCAAACACAGCAGAGTCCTTTAAAACCTGCCATCACACTTTTCAGAGTGGTTCAGACTTATGCACTGACCCTGAAGCATTGGGTAGGAGATTCTTCATCAGACTGCCCTCTGAGATACAGAAATCTGATTAGATGGTTTTTAGGATTCAAATAACTCAGAATTTATTTGATGGAAATAAAAGGTTTCTGCTAAACCTCACCCTTTCCCTGAGCACTGGTTAGATTGCTTTTGAAATTATAGCCAAGTCTAGTCTCTTGTGCCTGAGCCTTACTGCAAACAAGAGACAGAGATAAGAAAATGAAATAAAAAAGAAAATCTAACTCTCAGATACCCAGGTGGAAAGTCTGGCAGGACAGAGGACCTGAGCCCAAATCATGGTACAGTTTCTGTAGCAACGAACTGAACAGAGGCTGCTGATGTAATCAGAAGTGATAGCATGAATATCAACTAATGTGTGCTTTGCGGTGAGTTAAGCTGTAGCAGGTACAAAGGAGAAATCAAGTGAAAGCAGTCAATGTCCTGTAAAGACAAGATAAAGAGATGATAAGTAGGCTTGGTTCTCTCTGTAGAGGTTTGACTTCGAGTTAAAAAGCCCACCTGATTTTGTAACTGTAACTTAAGGAGTGATTATGCAAAGAAACATGCACTCTATCTAAGGGATCAGAAGTCTCAAGATTGTTCACTTAAAGGCAAGGGAGCCATGGTTGGATATGAGTTTTCATAAATGCTGTGAAAAGTAACATGATGATTTAAGAGGTGTAAAATGTTGGCATCAGCAGACGTGCCCGCAAGGCAATAAAAATCTAAAGAGCAGTACTAACCTGTTCAGGGTTCACATGGCAAAACATAGAAATCTTTTCCTTCACCGCCATTTCAATGGGCTTTGAACTCCGGCAGATGATCTGTCAAAGTCAGTTATGCGCAGGTCAGCAAGCAGGAATTGGCTACCCACGCCACCATTTGTTTTCAAAAGGACATTAGATAAATTTCTCTTTGCTACAACAGACTTGACCACGTATGTGCATGTTCATTCTAGGTATTCCATTGGCCTTTTAGAAATTGACCTGAGCACTCATATAAACAAGTACAATCAAACTCAATGCAACTCTACCAGTAAGAACTCAAAATGGGAAGGTATCTCTCATAAGTAGAGCCAAGGCTCACAAATGTTACTTCTTTTAAAGTACAAGAACAGAGCTAGACCAGGGTTGGCAACCTTTTCCTATAAATGGCCAGATGGTAAATATTTTAGGTTTTGCAGATCATGCAGTCATGGTACTGACTACTCAATTATACCACTATAGTACAGAGGCAGCTATAGACAAATGTAAACAATGAATGGTATTATGTTCTAATAAAACTTTGTTTACAATTTTTTAAAGTTGTAAAATTTTTTATTTACAGGCAACAGGCCTTCAGGCCCTTACTTGCTGACCCCTGATCTAGACCACTGGCAATAACTCAATTACTGGCTATAAATAAGATCAGTGATAGCTCAACCTAGCAGGGTCACAGGAAAATCTTCAAGGTCCCATCTCACTCTAAAGGACCCAGGGACCATTATACAATGGCAGAACACTGCACTTGCCCAGCTGTCAGTGTAGCCAATCAAAGAAGGGCCCGGAGAAGAACCAATGGCCAATTTGGAAATGTGTGAAGTGACACTTGAGGATGAGGGAATACCCTTCCCTGGCTCTGAGATACAAAATAGTCAATGTCATAGGAACCATTTGAGAAATAGAAAGGACTTCGATGATGTTACAGATTAAGAAAAGGAGGTCCTATTCCAACAAATTTACTCATTTTCTTTAACTCACCAGATCAGGAGACAGGCCCAACCCCCTCAGTGCACGAACACTGTTTTGTGTGGGTTTGGTTTTTTGTTCTCCAGTAGCACTGGGCTGAAAAGAAATGGGTCACTATTAGTATATTGGACAGTTAGCTCTCCAGGACAGTAAATGGAACCCTAGCTAAAATACAGAATAAACAGAATGTCATAGGAAGACTTAGGGAAGTTGCTGTCTATACTTATCTGGAATGCTCACCTGTGGGACAAGGCTAACATGAATGTTACAGAAATTCTCTCTTTTTGCTTTAAACTGAAATTGTCTGAATGCTTCCACAAATGGCATTCCTTCAATGTCTCCGATGGTGCCACCCAACTGGAATGGAAAAAAGACACAAGTGATCCTCCATGTTACACAGACTAATAGAAAAAGTCTTAACAAGCTAAGCAGAAGTTTGATGGTTGCACAAGAACAGAAGTTTGAAAATATATTAAAGATCACTGAATTGTACAATTAAAACAGGCAAGATTTATGATATATAAATTAAATGAAAAAGAAAAGCATTGTACATTTAAAGGGAGATGAAGCAAAGGGAAGAGAAAATGGAGACTAGAAAGTAAAATAAGAAGGGATATGGAGGTGGGCAAAGGGGAGAGGGGGGCATCTGTAATAGTGTCAACAATAAAAAAAAAGTAAAAAAAAAAAGGCAGGGATGGAGTGTAACATAGCCAGGTAAACAGGAAAGAGTAAGCAGAGCCTCAAGAAGGAAGAAGAAAGCAAAGGTGAGTAGGGCTTTCAGAATGATCTGATTCCTGTGTTTATAAGATCACTCTGGCCCAGCTGGTGTGGCTCAGTGGTTGAGCACAGACTCATGCACCATGAGGTCGCTGGTTCGATTCCGGTCAGGACACATGCCCAGCTTGTGGGCCTGATCCTCAGTAGGGGACATGCAAGAGGCAGCCAATTGATGTTCTCTCTCATTGATGTTTCTATCTCTCTCTCCCTCTCTCTCCCTCTCTCTAAAAATCAGTAAAGAAAAAAATTTTTTAATCTTATTACAAGATCACTCTGCCTGTTCTGTGGTGATATGGATTGAATAAAGTAAATGAGTCATGCTATCATTGATTTACTTGGACTTACAGACTAAATTCCCATACCCCCTTAAAATGGGTGATCATTATAAGGCTGTCAACCCTTTATCTCATCAAGACTGAAAATGTTAAAAAATAAAATGGGAGGGCTTTAAGAAAAGATAATGCAATTCATAAGCAGACAAAAAGATCCAGAATATAGATCCTCCTGGCTCTGCCTGGTGTGAAATAGTGAGCATTCTCTCTCTCTCATTCATTCTCTCTCTCTCTCTCTTTTTCTTTCACTGTCTCTCTCCATGAACAAACGAATGAACACACACACACACACACACACCTGCATGCATCTGAACAGCCTTCTTGTAATGGTGGTACTACTAGAATTAAATCACTACTATTAAGACATGCTGACTTTCTGAAGCAAACAGTATCAAAAGCCCTGAGAATATTCCTGATAACATAATCCTTTGATAAATGTTAACTTAATATACAGTGTGCTTCCAATAGTTACTTAAGCATTTTACTTTAGACTGAAATAAAATTCACCTTAACCCATTCATCCTCACCATATTTAAATACTTATAAACTATCACATGGATTTTCAAATTTATTCTCTAGCATTTGAGCACCTACTATATGCTCAACAGTATAAAGGAGGTGCTGGAAGAATTTCAGACAAGGTGTTCCTAAGGAGCTCAGAATTTAGCGAGGGAAATAAGGCAGAACTAAAGAACAATAACCAGGGGTAAAACTTAAGCATTAAGTGGAATGATCTGGGTGCTGAGGAGGAAGAGATCACCTGGGTTTTGTAGCCAGCTTGTACTTGACCTCTCAGATGGATCGATAATTACCCAAACTTACCACATCCCAAACTGAACCCCTGGTCCACCACCTCTGGGCCTATTTCACTGAGTGCTTCCTCATCTCAGCAAATAGCATCTCTGCCCCTCACTCCCTGGTTCAAGCTAGAAGTCTGGAAATCATCCTTGAGTCCACCTTTTTCTCACCCAACACAGTTCAATGGGTTGTACCTCCAAAACCTCTTGCAAAGCTCTCCACTGTTACCATTCTAGACACCCAAACCCACACCATCTTTCACCAGGATTACTGCAATAACCTAAGCCAGGGGGTGGCAAACCATGGTCTGTTGCCTATCTTTTTTTTTTTTTTTTTTTTTATCCTTACCTGCGGACATGTTTTGAGTTTTGTTCAGACAAAGTGGGAGGGGGAGAGAGAGAGAGAGAGAGTGAAACATCAATGTGAAAGGGACACATCGAGTGGCTGCCTCCCGCACGACCCCAACCAGGGCCAGGGACGAATCGCAACCAAGGTCCGGTCCTTGACCAGAATTGAACCTGCAACTCATTGGTTTGCAGGCTGATGCTCTAACCGCTGAGCAAAACTGGCCAGGGCATCCTATCTTTATATATAAAGTTTTATTGACTCTCCCACTTGCAAAGCTAAACATTACTTATTATGAGGCCCTTTACAGAAAAAGCTGGCCAACCCCACTCAAACCATTTGTCACACACCAGCAGAATGACCTTTAAAAAACTCAGAGCCCTGCCGGTTTGACTCAGCAGTTACAGTGTCGGCCTGTGGACCAAAGTGTCGCAGGTTCGATTCACAGTCAAGGTCATGTACCTGGGTTGCAGGTTCAGTCCATGGCCCAGGTCGAGGTCATGTGAGAGGCAACCGATCAATGTGTCTCTCTCACACTGATGTTTGTCTCTCTCTCTCTCACCCTCCCTCCCTTCCATTCTGTCTAAAAAAGCAATGGAGAAATATCCTCAGGTGAGGATTAAAAAAGAAAAAAAAAACACCTCAGAATATGTCTCCCTCTTGCTTATACTCTTCAGTAACCCACAGCTTCACTAAAAATAAAACCTAAACTCCTTTATGGAGCTAACAAAGACCCTACATGATCTGGCCCTTGCACAGGTCTCTAAGCTCATCTCACGCCCCCACCTCCCTACTTCCCATCGCCACCTCTCACTCTCTGTGCTTTGGCTCCACTGGCCTCTTAGATGGCCTCACTCTCCTTCCTGCCCCTTCTTCACCTACATCTGGCTCCCTTTTATCCTTCAGCCCAAGGAAGGATAAGCCTGACCCTGACCACCCACCTAAAGGAGCCACCATTTTGCTGCCTCCTATCACAGTACCCTGTCTGTGCACTTCCTGATTACTCGGTACAAGGTACCATTATTTTATTTGACTCCTTATTTCCTGTCTCTCTACCACACTAGGCTGTAAGCCCCATGAGGACAGGAACATGCCTGCCATATCTCCAGCACAAGCCCAGTGCACTACATGCAGCACTGAGGGCTTAGGTTAATGGGCAGGACAGGACAGAGGGGCGTGAAATTCAATAAAAGTTGTAGGTAACAGCATTCTAGTACCTGTTTCCATAATTATGATGGAATCAAACTAAGAAGTCTCAGAATGTCATTGCTACAAAAGAAATTATTCTTTAACTCATATAATAAAACCTAATTGAAATTCAAGTTTCCTGGGTATGGAACAGACAGAAATATATGATAATTCTGTAAAAGAATGACAATTTTAATTATGAAAATCCAAGAAATATCACATGCAATCAAGAAATTGATGGGGGGTGAAGGATGTAATACAATGCAGCAGAATCTAATGGGGAAAAAAATTAAGGAAAAAAAGGAGGTCTGCATTAAACTAAACCTTAAGGAAACATCTGGTTTTTTTTTTATGGGGGCGGTGTTCTGGAAATCAAGAGGGAATCTGAAAAAGGAAGCAAAAACTTTAAACATTATCCACTTCTGCCCTCACATGGCAAGCAGTGGTACTGCATTCTCTCTGTCGATTTGGAAGGTCCCATTACCACCACTCTGGCTCCCCAATATCATCACGATCAGAAACTTTCAGTATTATTACTAGAATAGTACTAAGTTAATTATTTCCCCCACACAATAGGGAAAATAGCACCCATAACACTATTTTAAAATCTATGCAAAGCTTAAATTGAAGCAACAGCAAATTTACGGAATGTGTATTGTCCACTTTGCCTTTATGGATAGGAGTCTTCTCTTGTGAGAAAGAAAGAAAGAAAGAAAGAAAGAAAGAAAGAAAGAAAGAAAGAAAGAAAGAAAGAAAGAAAGAAAGAAAGAGAGAGAGAGAGAGAGAGAGAGAGAGAGAGAGAGAGAAAGAAAGAAAGAAAGAAAGAAAGAAAGAAAGAGGGAGAGAGAGAGAGAGAGAGAGAGAGAAAGAGAGAGAAGAAAAAAAAAGGACGGAAGGAAGGAACCTTTTGTTCTTCTAAGGCAGGCATAAATTATTTCAGGTTCATGCTTGGACAACCTGCACTAACATGAACAAAGCCTGTCAACTGATTGGTCTGAGAAGTCGAAATCTCACTGTAAAAATGCTTCTACACACTTAAAACTAAAAATCAGCTTTGGCGGATCCTTGAAAGCTTAAGTCATACACAAACACAAATATTGAGCACAACTTAAACCCAAAAGGATATTTGGCCTAGTGCCCAATTAAGCAAATATAAACATCAGGATCGTATGGAGAAGGAGTTTTTCTAGGGACAAATTGGCACAGTTTATCTGTTTCCATGAAATTAAACACTGAGACGATGAGTCCAGGAAAGCAGGAGTTCTTGTCTCATCATATCCACAGCTATCATGGAGCTAGTGCATATTAAAGAGCTTAATTTAATTAATGTTTGTTAAGCCAAACAAGTCAACTCAAGAGCAGAATTTTAAAAATTAAGAACATAGACATGAAAAAAGAAGATTGTGCAGGTAAAGGCCTAAAATATTTGCTTGTTGTTTGTTGAGATGGAAACTTTGGTATAATTTGAGATGTCATGAAGAATTCTTGGTTTCATTGTGCAAGTGGAATCTTCAACAATTAGAGTCTGACTCTATAGCATACTTCTTGTAAAATGATGACAGAGTCAGGTGCGTCAGCCCCAAAACAAAATATAAAAGCTTTGTCCACAGTTGGTTAGAGCATCGTCCTGATACGCCAAGGTTTCAGGTTTGATCCCCCACCAAGGCACATACAAGAAGCAATCAATGAATGCATCAATAAGTGGAACAACAAATCTCTCTCTCTCTCTCTCTCTCTCTCTGTTTCTCTCTCATTCTCCATCTCTCTAAAATCAATTTTTTAAAAAGATTTTTTAAAAATACAATGAAAAGGTCCTGGCCAGTTTGGCTCAGCAATTGGAGCATCAGCCTGTGAACTAGAGAGTCCCAAATTCGGTTCCCGCTAGGGGCACGTACCAAAAACAAAACAAAACAAAAA